GTCGCTATTATCTCTCCTGCATCACCACTCATCCCCACCCTTAGTAACCCAACCTTTCCACCGCGCAGTCAGCACGCTCACTCCGGTACACCTAAGCATAGTCGAACATATATTCCCGCGACGCGCGCGCGCACATCCATGATACAGCGCCATCGCGCTGAGTATCGTAACTTGCTTGCTTGCTTATTTTTGGTTCGGCGTGCTTCGGGTAAAAGCAAGCATGCAGTATTGTGCGACCGGCATCCCGTAAACCAAGGCACCGGGTAGAGGACGGCGTAAGATGAGCCGGTCTGACCAACATCGTTCTGGAATGCTTGAGGCGGCGATGTGGTACTCAGCCTTATGGTGTTGGTATGCGTGCGTCTTAAGGGTAAGGGTGAGTTGATATGTGGAAAGGACGTAGGCATCGGGAGGAAAGGAGGGCTATATGGAGATACTGCAGGGCGAGTCGACCATGTCGCCATGGGATGTTACTGTGAGTTGGCGGCTATTGAGTCAAGAAGTTATATCCGTCTTCTTCGTCTATTTTGGTCAATGGTTCGCTGTTTCCGCAACCTCCGGTGCATGTCGAATCCTCTTTCGTTCCGTCCCCTTTCTTTAGTCTTGCATCTCTTCTATTTCTAGCCTTTACTGCCCCTCTCTGGATGTTTGTCGCACCTGTAGAAGATGAGTAGTGTTGACTTTGACTCCATTGAGATTTAGGGCGGAGATGTGATGATGTGCAACAGTAGGTTAGGTTCAGTGCGCGCGCGGTCTCTGGAGAGTGCTTGAAGTACTGCAGTTGCTACCTTCAAGAATCCACCTTGATTACTGTTTGCTAATTACGCAATACACTTGGTGCGCATTCTTTCACTGTCAATTTCATCCCAAAACGGTTCGCCGCGCATGCCCACCGCTCGCTGTCAAGTCTAACCCACGTAATGGGTAGGACTGGAAGACTTATGGCTTAATCAACATCAAGATACCGAATCCATGAGATCGTTCCAAAGGATCGCGGGTCTCGCGGGACTCGTTTGTAGCACTCTCATCGAAGTACCGTTTGGTGATTCCCCTCTCCACAATATTTCAGGATTGAACACCATCCACCCACGCACAAACTACGATCCAAACAACATCGCTAACGCGGAAACATGGGGAGTATACGCTACAAAAGGCGGATGGCTCAATTGTCTCCTGGATATGACCGACTCGGAAGCAGGCAAAGCATGGCCCGACTGGGTGGGTGGGGGAGGCGGCGGGGAGGAGGAGGGGAGGCGGAGGGGCGGTGGTGGATGGCATGGATCGCGAGAATGGCCTAATGTACGTGTTGGTGCGGATTCGGAAGACACGACTGTTTTAGTTGGTAGGCTTGTCGCTTTTTCCGTTCTCGCACCACTGATACATGCATCTCCACGCAACAAGCAGATATTCGATTTCCTCTCGCCTCTGCCACACTAGCAAATCTGAATACCCTGGTACACGAGGATGTCTACCTCTATCAGTACAGCAGGCTCACTCATTAGTGCAATACCCGTGTACCCCCTTCTCCAACATAAAGCCTCACTCGGCGATAAGCATATCACTGAAATCACAGTCTTTCGCGATTGCAGAGCGAACCCGTCGTTCAAGGCGGATATTCAGTTGCTGTTTCGTGTTGAAGACGCTCCAGAGGATGTTCTAAGGTCTGATAATTTGGATGTTGGGTGCGTAGCTGGAAATGCGAACAGGGAAGTAGGGCAAGGAAGTAAGTGAAGAGAAGCAATAGGGTGACAGAGAAGGTGAACGCAAGAAATGACGTGCGAAGATTGCATGAGGTCAGTGTTTATAGGGGCGGTAGGACGGCGGTGGTTAGTTATGGGGTTGAGCAAGTTTGATGACGCTTTCGAGGTATACATTCACTCCACATTCTGCGCCCCTGAACAATCGCCACTCGCCGCGTATGCTTTCCTATCAACGCCTGTATCCACTTGTTTAGGCGCACTCACGACTATGACGGATCGCTTGGTGTGTCTACTCCTGACTTCTCTCGCTTGAAGTAATGCAATGCTCAACCAAATTCACGCCAATACCCCGAGAAACGAAATCCGTGTGTCATATTACCATGAAGATTGCTACACTTCTCCTCACCGTGATCTGTGTACCGCTGGTTTACAGCGAGCATGTCGGAGATTCCTTTGGCTCCTCCAATTCCACAGCCTTTCCATCAAGCCTTCTAGATCGTCGCGATAGCGCAGTGAGCATCCCATCTACCAACGACAAAGCCCCCGCCTCCGAGCCGAATCTAGTCCAGACTGCTGTGGACTTCGACCCCACCGACTACGCGAACGATGCCAGCTGGGACAAGTACAAGAAGAAAGGCAATTGGCTGCGTTGCCTCATGGAAATGCCGGATGAAGTCGCGGGACGAAATTGGCCCAACTACCTGGACCGCAATCCGCCATCAGCGGCAAGCCAGTGGAAAGGAACGCTTGAAGGCAGATTCTATCCATTCCATCATCATCCTTACGCAGCCATTGACACTGACATGCATCCAGCCGAGCTAAGAGATTGGTACTGGCACGAAGCCTACTATGACCCGGAAATCAACTGCGACTTTTCGGACGACTTCGCAAACTTAGAGATTAATAACAGGATCGAGGCTGCGCTGAATGAGCTCGGATTGGATACCAAGCCGGTGGAATTTGGTGGCAAGAACAAGTGTTACTCTATCGAGCACATGGATGAGAACGCGGTGGACGATGATGGTGATGACCTACCGGTAGATATGCAGACTTACTTCCCTGACGACGACGACGACAAAGAGTATGGCGTGAGTATTCCAGGAAGAGAGATACGCCAGACATTGACATTTTGGCTGACTATACGTAGGCTACTGGAGCTTACTACCGCTTCGCTTTTAATCCTGAACAAGGAGGTAAGACATCCTTCCACCCCTCTTCATCCACCACCGCCACCCACTAACCCCCCTCTCAAGCAATCTACGGCCACAACTTCCTCGCCCCCTGGCCCGCCGCCATGGATGCCTACGCCGAAGGCTTCCCAGCGGACCAACTCCCTCTCCTCCGCCAAGCCTCCGACATCATGGCCGCCTTCTGGCTGCGCAACCCCAATCCCAAAAACCTAAAATACTGGTTCGGCAGCAACATCATCAACACCGAAACCGTGCCCGTCATCAACCGGATTCTCATAAGCAAAGGTTATAACGAGGTACCGGAATGGCCTGGGGTCCAAGTAGACGAGTCCAGCGATGAGTACCTCGCACTCCTAGGCACACCCGTCGGCGCAAACAAAGCCTTCATGCTGGTCCAACACAAAGCGGAATTGGGGCTCAAACATATTCCCAGCATTACGATTTTCCGGGATAAAAAGGATCCCCAGCGCCCGGACGATGCGCCGGCATACCAGCTTTTGTTTCGTATTGAAGATGTACCGCAGGATGAGGTTATGCCTGATGATACGGAGATTGTGGATCAGGAGATGACAGGCTCTACGTTCCGAATGAGAAGGGGACAGAGGAAGGATAGTTTGGTGGAGCTGGATTTGGGGAAGAATGTGGGGAGGTTGCATAGGGTGAGCATAGATGGGCGAGGGGAGACGATGTTGCAGAGTCATGAGGTTGAGCGGGAGTTGTGATGGGGTTGTTTTGCTGGCTTGTTGTGCTGGAATCGCATTAGTAGACGCCTAGATGTCGTTAGACTGCGAATAAAGAGCAAGTGACTGCATACGCAGATAGATCGCGACCGCTTTAGCACGTGACCTGCGAAAGGCTATAATGCGAAGAGTAGACGCAGACAAAACTTGCTAGTCTCGCCATTGCGTCCTGTCTCCATAGAGCCTTCGTTATAGCAACCAGGATACTCAACTCAACATCTGCAGAGCTAGTCGCAAGCCACACTGCATACATCTCTCTAGTCCCTGAAAACCTGGCATCTGAATCAGACCCCAGCACATCATACGTAGCAAAAGCGCAGCGGTGGATCCTGCCGCCAAGTGACAGCCTCACATTCGCATCGGCGGTCGATTGGTCTGGGTGTCTTGCCGTAGCGCAGCGTGCGCAGCCAGACCCTGACAGCGGGTCCCAGGGCTGGAACTTTATCATGGCCAGGCAGCATCTGTCGTCTCCACGTACGAGTCGAGCGCGCATGCGTAGGCGTGTGTCATGTCGATGTCGGAGAGATGGGATGGTTGGGAGAACTGGGGTGGCTGATGCAGGGAGATATTGGCGCTGGTGGCTAGCGCGGTCTAGTCTGCCCCGAAATAGGAGCATGCGTGCCGCTGTCTTTTTGCTTTTCCCAACCAACACGACAGCACCAGCTCGGACTCGTATTTTCCCTGCTTCACTCAACGAAATGGTCGCTTCAACCCTCGATCCGGGCAATCATGGTTTATCTTCTGATATGTATCTCTTGGTCTCTGTTTTCAGATCTCTAATTGGCTTGCACCCCTGATAGCGGAGCTACTAATTAAAGGTAGACTAGCCTCGCTAGTCACTAGATTTCCCGAAAATTCACGAAAACCACCGACGATTTACTGCGTTTTGCTACGTTTTGCTTCCGCATTACATTGGCGGAGATTTTTACTAGAGTGTCTTTATTGTTGGAAGCCTATATATGATTGAGGTCTTGGTGTAGATAAAGAAGCGGCATCAAGCTCTCAGACTTTGCGATTTTTGGTGACAACGTAGCTGGCAGCGAGGGAGAGGCAACCTTGAAAGACGGTGCCCAGGTGTGGCGCGTCCTTGAAGCGCGACACCGTAGATGCCGATCTGATCAAACACAAACAGCACGACCTACACACAACGTTCAATCTGTCTGTTAGTTGATACATCTTCCGGGTTAAAGGTTGGAATATATTCTTCACTATTGAACGCGATAGGAAGCAGTGAACACATTGGGATAGTGGGTAAACGCAGGTTAATTCTCAAGAGAAAGAAGATCGATAACAATACCAAAGTAATAGAACTTTTGATACCCAATGTTATCCAATGCAGACCTAAACAAATATCGTCACGTCAACCGAGCCTAGATACTATCCACATCAACGTCGTTGTCCTTCAACATCGCCACGATTGTCCCAAGATCCTCTTTCGCGTTCGACAGCTTCCTGTTGATTCGCTCGCGAACGTCCTGGTCTTTGTCATTGTTCCGGATCGCACGTTCATCCCCCATTCGCTTCAGATCGCCACTGATGGCCTGGAATATAAGCTCAATCTGGCACTTGAAGTACTCCTTGACCAGCTGCTTCTGAGAATCGATGGCGTTTCCCAAGTGTACACGAATGGCATGGAATGGCGTTGTCTGTTCGTCGCAAAGCAGTCGCTCAAATCCTTCCAATTGCAGACGCTTCAGTGTCTCTTCCTTCTTTCGCCGCCAGACGACTGTCCTGCTCGCTATGTATACGTGGGAAATGCTCCTGCTTGCTGTATATACGTCGATCATGGCGTTTCCGAAGTAGGAGACCTCGGATGTGTCAGTAAGACAGCGTAGCTTCTGCTCTCTACGTTTCATGTCAGCAAATGATGTTTGGCGCCCGCTAAGCACTTACTCGATGAACGTGCGCAAATCGGCAATGCACTTAGTTTCAGTTTCTTGGAGCGACTTAGCTTTGAAGCCGATACTGTTGAGAAACCAATTCGGTCCTTCGGGTATGGAGTCAGGATACTGCTCTTGAAGAACGTCAGCTGGGAAGTTATGTCTCTTAGAAGCAACTCACTGCGAACGTCCGCAGTCACCTTTCCTATTGATGACAAGACCTCTTGTCTCACTGGCTCAATCATGTTTGATAGATCTTTCAATATGGTTTGAAAGATGGGATTGAGCCTGACGCGAGGCCCCTCCAGTAACCGATCGTTCCAACTTGCTATTTTTCTTCTTGGCGTCTTGTGATTGCCTTAAGAGTCATTAGTCTTGCTTCTTTACGACCAACAAGGCTTGTATTACCTAAATTATTCATAAAGGCCCTGTGTGAGCTGTGATGCCACTGGGAGCGTTAGCGGGTGCCTTCTCGAACCGTTGTTAATCTTACTTTACGCCACGCGTTACAACCACGCCTTACATGTTCAAAGTATACAGACAGGTCGTCTTCTGACAGCAGTGAGTACTAAGAAAGTAGAGGAGTTTCGGTCGCGTACTTGAGGTGTTCAATAAGGGCCTCTCGATACGTCTCTCGAATACATCGTCGATGTATCGATGAACCTTCGTTATACAAGTCTGAAACGGTATCAGTTTGGCTTTTGCGTTGTTCTAAACCACTTACACTACTCAGTCTTTCGGCTCCACCTTCAATATTCAGTTGAAACGCGTCAGTCCGTTCATTGATCCCCATCCGCATGCTAAGCATGAGGCTTGGCAATGTTGAGTTCACATAGAGAACCAGCTCTTTTACTCGCACCGGCGCGCACAAGGAGATGAGGTGTCGCTTGAGAGAAGGGATTTCGGTTTTGTCTGGCCTGAGGGGAAGCCGGTCGGAGTCGTGAGCAGCAAACCCCCTAAGGTTACGCTGATAATCGAAAGCGGACACACAGAACACTGCCTGAGGACGGCATTGCCTCCGTTGCCTTGTCATGAGTCTTTCATTTACGCGCCGGTTGCGTTCCTCAACGAGCACTTGCGTAATTCTGGGTTCTGATTAGTATTTACAATGCCCAAACTCCCAGTTACTACACTACACGTACGCTTGCTTGATAATCTTTTGCTTCAATCTGTAACATAGTTAGAGATATCCAAGATCATGCTCAGTACTGCTTACTGGTCGAGTAGTACAGCTTCAGAGGACGGGTTTTTACGAAGCTCTTGGTGTTTCCCCCCTTTGTATTCAAGTTGTTCCACTTTCTCGCGAAGCCTCTCATACGTATGCTTCTCGTCTCCGATGAAATTAGTGTGCCTGCTGCGAAGCAGACCGACGTCCTATCTTGGAGTCAGTAAGAGCGCTCTGATAGATCGATTCCTCATACCTCAGAGAATGTAGCGACTACTGTCACAGGACGGTGTTGTTGGATCTTCTCAATTTGATTGGGGAGGCTGGTGTCAGATATGATGCGACTGATGTTGTGTGCTATTATGACGGACGAACAAGACGGTAGGTAGTCGTCCACGCTGGCACGCGCAAGTCGATTCAAGTCATTTCGACCCGGCGTGTCGGCGATGACGATGTGCTCGCTTAGGGCAAAGGGGCCGCCGATTTTGACAACTTCTACGAAGGGCCAAGCGTCGCAACCTCTTCTTGAGTCATCGGCCGAGCGACCATGCGTGAATCGAGCAAGCTCATGCCACAGCTCTTCGGTGGTTCTTTTGTATATGCTTGTATCCTGACAATCAAGCTCATCGTACATGTCGCGAGCGCGCTTGATGAGCCGATCTCGTATATCATGTCGCACAGGTGACCATTCACTGCTCAACAGGTACTCCTTCATGGTCTCCTCGTCCTCAAAACTGGGGTCTCCACGGAAGAGTGCTTGGAAAACCCCTGCAGCTGTTTCCGTATCTGCACCGGGAGAATCTGGGCCTGCGGGATCTGGGCTTGGATGTTCATCTTCATCTTCACGCTCGCTCTCGTCTTCATGTGACAAAAGCCCGTGGTTCCAGTGTTCGAAGAACGTCTCGATCCGCTTCTGTACTGAGTCCCACGGGAGGAGAGAGATGATAGCGCGGTATTTGAAATGTGAGTCGTGATCGATCCAGTGATGGTACTCCAAAATCACTCTGGTTAGGCTCTCGCCACTCTTTGCCTGATTAAGTTTTAGCCTCAGCTATCTAGCTGCTGATACAAACAGTTGACATACAGTTTGAACAATACCCTCGTCGCCTAACAGACTTCCAATAAGGCAAGATTTACCTTGCCCAGTCTTGCCTACAATGCCGATTCGCATGGGCCCGCTGACGTAGGGTGAGACAGATTTTTCTGCTTCCTCAGCCAGTGGATCCCATGAACTGTGCCAATGATTCTTTCCAAGGTTGATAGCAGCGATCAAAGAGGCGATTATCTTCCCTGACTGTACCTCTGCCTCCTTGTATCTTGGGTCATGGAGGGCGACACCTTCTGCTTTGTAATCAGAGTGAGGATCGTGTCTGTTACCGAATCCTTGAGTCAACAGCATCGAGAGTTGTTCGTCGTCTTCGATCGATTTGAGCACTTCGGTCGGTGAGGCGGATAAACGATTCGGCTGCTGAGCCGACGCATCTCCTGAATGTGCGATATGGGCTCGGCCATCGGTAACCTCGATCGATTCGCGGACATGCTCTCCCTCATTCGAAGAGTCTAGGCGTGTTTGGCGTGGAACGGACGGCCGAGGAGGAGGCGTCTGTGTAGTAGGTCTCAACTTGGAGCGTTGCCGTGCTTTTGATGTGAATGTTGGAGTGGCATATCGGCCAACCGACGAAGAAGTGGTTGTTTGGGGTTGTTCTGGACGTTGGGACGGGTGATGACGCGAGGTACGACCGTGATCCATATCGTGTAGCAGGATAAACGAACTGAGACTTGTACATTAAAGTGAATAAAAAGATTCCCTGGTGACAGAGAAATAAGAATCCCGATATCGTCTGTTTAAAATTCCAAGGGGAGACGAAGAACGACCTTTTTTTTCAACTGAACGCTAAACGTCGACATAAACGAACGCATTCAACGTTGATAGGAATCTGACCACGGCACAGAGGTAAGTTTAGCACTGGAGCGTGGCATCCCCTCGCACCCCTACCAAACCTGAAATCCCGCTATGTTGCACAAGTGAATCACCCAGGTAGTTTATGGAAGACCAGGTGTCTCCGCTGCAAGTCGCCATCGCGGCGATGACCCTGGTGCGTGACAACAGGCTGACAGGAACCAGTTATCTGATTGTAGGGTCACGCAGGTATCAGGTTGGTGATGTAGCGAGGGTTTTGTGGCTGGAGGCGACCTGCCATTCGACTTGGCCCCAGTATTTGACGGGAACTAGCTCCTTGGCGTATCATACCAGGCAGACGTCGCCCTGTCATGCTGGTCTGCTGGACACTGTGGAAGGCACCAGGGCTCAGGAGCCGGGATAGCTCAGAGAAGTCTTTCAAGACCTGGCCTTGGGGCAAAGACATCAAAGCATGGACGGTACTACCTGCCCACTGCAATGAGAACGCGCAGGTGCATATTTCAGTGGCTCATATCTTCCCGTAAATGCACTTGGATCTTCCTGTCTGTTATTCCGTGCGGTAACAGACACGTAACGTTAGCTACCATGCACAAGGACGCAATAATGCGATACTGCTAGTCACAACCCCTCAAAACAACCACCTACTTAGTTTAAACTTGGAGTCTAGTCAGTGAATCTTTCGAAGCAAGCAAACGCGCATAATACCCAGTACACGATGCCTAAAGTCGCGAGCATCGACAGCAGCGGGGTCCAGACGCGTCGCGTGTGCCTGCACCTAGCCTCCAACGGAAGGCAACCGGCTATGCCGTAAGCCCTGGCGACAACGTGCATACGCGAAGTCAATGTTTCACAGTCTTGCATTGGCAGATCTACACGGGGAGACGGCATGGTTGGCAAGAAATTAAGCTGGAGGGTGGAATTTGCTTGATGGGTATCGTTTTGGGCCTCGCAGCTGCCTTCATTGGTTGGACACCTGTCTCCAAGCCCCAGCTTGGCTTGCTTGTTGATATCCCTACGAGATGGACGCGTTTCTAGGTCTCTCTAATGCGACCAGGGTATGTGTTTAAATTCCAGTGCTGCGGTTGATGTAGAGATATTTAAATTGAGCAACAACAGACCACTGGACGGCGCGGATCCCAAGAAAAGAAAACCAAGCAGGTTCGGACATAAGCGCCACTCTGCACTTGTAGGCAGTGTAGAGGTGCTAAGGGCGATAGCGTGGCGCAGGTGATGTACAGCCAGGAGTGTAAGCATTGAAAATCAGATAATTTGGGGTACAAGAAGGAAGCAATTGGATGTCAAAGCTTATGTATGCGAGGGTGTTCAAGGACGCGTTTAAGTATTCTGTATCTATTGCAAACGATAAAAAGAAGCCTCTAATTGTCTCGAGAATTTCTACCGCATATGTATTTAGGAAAGAGCTTCTCCAAGGAGTTCAACTATCTCAACAGCTATACTATTCCCCGTTATCGGTATCCACACTCGACCGCCCTACTGAGGACCCACGATATAAGCCTCCCTAGGGACAGACGGCTCATCAGAGAGCAGACGGGGGCCGATGTCTACTTTGTTGTCTCCTAAATCCGTAAAATAGCCATTATACAAAGAAATTGCGACTCTTACGGATGCCTCATCCGAGTATCTTTCATGGAACATATCGGGGGCCAAGCCAACCGGCACCTTGGTTTCCGAATCTACGAGAAACAAGTCATTTCCGAAAGCCTTCTCGTGGGGCGAAGGCAGGTGTTGACCAACGCATAGTAGACGAAAAGGGTGTTTTCGCTGTTGCTTAGGCTGACGTGCGTGCTTTGCCAAGAGACCGACGGAAAGAAGATCTTCGTTGTGGCGAATATAGACGGGGATGAAGAGCTTGTTGACCCATGCTGCGGCGGACAATGGGATGCGACAGTTCACCATACCAGCTAGGAGGAGTACGGTATGTAGTAGTGGTGTTGACCAGAGATCTTGCATAGACCGCTTGAAGTCTGCCCACTCTTCTTGCTGGGCTCCAGGGCGGCTTTGCCCCTCATATGCGAACCACATACGGACAAGGATTCTCCTGGCCTGCGCAAAGAGTGGTACGTATTCACCAGCCTCATCCATGCTGGCCTCTAGCTCAGTCTCGTCTAGGCTACTGATGTCCACTAAACAATCGCCTTCCTCGAATTCTAGTCTGGGGTCGGTTCTCGTCCAAGTATGATCGCCATCGTCGTACACTTGTGCTGCATACTCTGGGTTAATGGGAACCCAACCGCACCTCGCGGCATCAGCGTGATTGACCGTCCAACGATGACTAGGATATTTCCCGAGTTTTGGAAGCTCACCACTTGTGTAAGACTCAAGCCATGGTGTTCGTGACTGTTCGAAACAAGCTTCTAGCCTGGCGATGAGAATGTCTGGCAAGCATTCGCTTTCTAGTTCCATAATCTGCACATCCGATGTGATGTGCACGTGCGGTGAAGTAGCATTGGAAGCTTTGGGTACGCGATTTCCTATCAGTTTCAGGAAATCGCCGAGCGTCGTCGGACTGGGAAGATATTGGCTTGGTAGCCAACCGTCTGTGGGATCTGTGCATATGGGATCAAGCATCGATCGAGTGAACCTGCATGTAAAAGCATGTCCAGATCGTTCAGCTTGCTGATAAAGATCTGAATAAATTTCTCCAAACGACATCGACAAAGCATCTTTCTTCGGATATGTATACCATGGAAAAGAGGGCATGGTTGCGAAGATGTAGTCGCAGGGCATAGTAGCGGATCTAGGCGATGCTCGATTCGCCAGTAGAAAACCACCCGAGTGGATGTCTTCATGTTGGCTACGCTTTGCGCTACGTGGATTAACAACGGTCCCGCCGTGCACATAAGCTTTCACGAACTCGTCTATGAAGGTGTTGCTCTGAGAACCGCAGAAAGAGTAGGCTAGCTTCTTGAGGTTCAGCGCGATAGTCCCAACATCCGTCTGGTGTCGATAGAAATCACTGTCGCCGAGAGCCTGTTCCCGCACCGCGAGCTTCTTGGGTTGGTCTAAATTTTGGTCAACCACGAGCAGAAAGCAAAAGAATGCTGTGACATACTGTCGCTTCCAACCACAAATTCAATCGTATGAGAGAGTAAGCACTCCTGCAGCGTCCATAATCTCTGGAGGTACGACTCTGCGCAGACATAGTGAGTGTGCGCAATGCTGTGATCATTAAATTTGCTGGCAAACTCGTCCGCGGTTTCGAAACCAGCAACCGCAGCAATGCAGCAATCATACAATCCGTCGCACTCTTTGACTGCAATCGTCTTTCTGGCCATCCTGAAGATATCGGGAATGACATCCACGATCTCTGAGACTTCAACTGGGTTTCGTTGATCGACAGTCAACGTGTCCATCCAAAAGGCACAGTCGCCTACCAAAGCGGGGAGATCGCTTGCGATGAACTGTGCTTTCTCTTGCGATGCTTTCACCTCGTACGGTATACCATCGATTGAACGCCAGGCCCAGTCGCCCCACACGTGAGAGAAAGCAATGTAATCGGTGGACTCGATGGGCGCCTCAAAAAGTTCCAAAGTCGCGTTCTTGAACCGCGCGAACTTGATCGTAGGGGTATCAGTAAGTCGTTCTGTGGCTGGACATCTTCTGCTGGTGTTTTGTTGGGATGCGTTCGAATTAGGTCCCTTTTTTGTCGCGCAATCAAAAGCAGTGATACAGGACTTGAACCAAGAAGAGAAGTCGAGAGTGGAAGGTCCCGTTGGTGTCGCGCTATCAGAACCCATGCTATAGGATCTGAGCTGGAAAAAATAAGCCGAGAGGGACGGTATGGCCTTGAAGCCGGCGGACGCTGGTTTTAATCTGCGGGGTCGCAAGGTTGGAGATCAGACGCCTCCGCCTCGGTGGCTGCGGCTGAGCAACAGGCCGCCTAGCCTCGCAATGTCTAGCGCCAGCCCAGCCTCTCGTGTACATTCTCGCGCTCCCTGTTCAGCGCGTCCAATGGTATAAGGTGGTGGCTGGCGCGTAGCAAAGAAGGATGGTATGGCTTTCAGATGCATGAAGACCACAACCTGGACATTTTGTTGGTATGAGCATCTCACACTTTGCTGTTTCCAGCTTACATACAAAGCTCGTTGTATGGAAACCATGTAACCCTCTTACACCCTTCACCTGGTCACCGGCTTGGTCCCAGGCTTGATGCCTGACTAGTGAGCGGACGTCACAACTGTCGTTCGCGAATCTGTTAAGATGACAAACGACAACTGTGACATCCATCCACTCCACAGGCATCACATCACGGACCAAATAAACTATCTGCACAGTGTAGAGTTTTATCTACAAGGATAGAGTTTTTCCAAGGGTCGGCTCATGGGGTCACGGGAGGATTTGGCAATCGAAAAGCTGACACGAGTGTTGTAGAGTCTCAGCGACATAGGTTTGCCCTGGGTGGGAGCAGACAGGTGATAGACCCATGTCATGGTTGACGTAGGGACGTGCCGCACGACAATGGCGAGACATAATGGCGGTAGTCGCAACGGCCACTAATCATGCATGAATTTCTTGCGCTAACATATCGGCCTGCAGCGCAGCAGCGCAGTATGGATATAGCATGGGTCGTCCGTGGACCTGCCTTGGCCTGCTGGTTGTTCGCTTTGACGTGCCGCTCTGAACAAGCGTGGAGGAGCCACCCGCACTCGCGAATGCGCAATGCCCGGTCTGGTTCAGAAATTTGACAGGCCAGATACAAGCCAGAAAATGTTGTGATCTACCAGATTGTGTATGCATTTCGAGTTGAGCTCAAGCGCGAGCTTGGGTTTACCGTTCTTCTGGAAACGCTCGCAATGACGTTTACTACTCACAGTAGTACCGGAGACCGTGATTGACCTGCGTATTATTCTTTGAAAAAGAAGTAAAGCATTCTTGCAATGGGCGCTCAATCACAACATGGACACATGGGTGACCAAGCCCTCTGCCGCCTCCGATTCTGCGTCTTAGTCTGAGTACGCTTCTGAGTCCGCTCAAACTGCCGAATAGCAGCACCAACCTCAGGTTTGTCCCTGGAAATAGTGGTGTTGTCCTTGAGCCACCAGATGTACTGAGAGGGCACTTCTGCCAATGTCTTTCCCACATGCTTGCCAAATGTGAACCTGTATTCTCCCTTTTGCGGAGTCCCGATAGGTGGGTGGTGGCGTTCGTACTCATCGACTCCGGCGGCAAGGTCGGGACGTTGCTTAATGACACCTTCTTTGTCGAGGTAGGCCATATAGGAGGGAGGGACTTCGGCGATGGTTTTCCCGGTGTACTTGCCGAAGTCGAAGCGGTATGGTTCGCGACGGGGTGGGGGTTGCGAGGAGGAGGGTTGTGGGGTCAGTTGCGAGGCAGAAAGCTGCGGTGCGAGAGGTTGCGAACTACTCGGGACGTCGTCTTTGCAGAGGGAATAATGGCTAGGCGCAGTCGACGGTGGTGGCGGATCCTGCTGTGGTTGACTCGCCATGGAAACCTGGCTAGAAGCAGGCGGTTCATGTCCCATATACGGGCCAGGTGCAGATGATGGCGGTGGCAGAGCTTGGGATGAATACTGAGCCGACGCCGTCGTGCTCATAGCGACTGGACGCAGGCCTTTCTTCATCATGCCGAGCGCGTCAGCCAAACCAGGCAAAGTAGCCAACTTGTCTTCGCTCGCACCAAGATAATAGAGGTAGTCCTCTGGTACCTCGAGCAGAGTCTTGCCTTTGTATTCGCCGAATGGAAGGACGTATAGGGGTGCACCATGCGATTCTTGAGGTGCCGTGGGCTGTGACGAGGGGGGAAGGATACGTTTGCGATGGCGCAAGCTGTGGTGGCATGGCCTGTGACGAGGGAGGATATGACTGCTGTGTGCTAGGCGGTGGTGACGGCGAACGAGATGGCGAAGGAGGGGAAGTGTATTTGGAGATATGCGTGCTCGTGACCGCAGGCTGTGATGACGGAGGAGGGGTCTGGTACACTTGAGACGACGGTGGAGAAAGCGGCATTTGCGACGATGTAGCTTGCGGTTGCGACGACATCGACACCTGCGATGCTTGCGATTGCGACGCTTGCAATGCCGCCTTCCCCCCATTCTTCTTCTCCTCCTGCCACTCCTCCAACGCATATATCAACTCCATTGGCCTACTCGAAATCGGATTCCGAATCAACCACGTATGATAAGACGTTGGTATCTCCGCAAGCGTCTTGCCCTCATGTTTGCCAAACGTCAGGCGATACGGTTCGGCATCCGATGACGAGGCCGAGGGCGGCGGCGTTGAGGGAGCTTGGTGCCATTGCTGGAGAGTGATTCCATCGGATTTATCATGGGACGATGGAGGTGTGCGGGAGGTGTTGGTATTGAGTGGCTTTAGCGCAGGTCGTGGTATTTGCGCGGATGAAGGGGGAGCTTGCTGCGACGAGACGATCTCGTCGACGACATCGGCGACGTCGGAGTCAATGTCCGATCCGTAGTCGGATGACATTGTGCGCATGCGATAAGTGTAGCTCAAAGCGATTTGGGGATAGATGGGATGGTGGGTTGGTGGACTGATGACGTTGGGCTGCAGCAGCAAACGTGTGGGCAGGTGGAGTTTCGGGATGACGGAAGGAGCTTCAACGGTTCAGGGTGGTGCACGGACGCAGACTTCAGTTAGATCCCGCTGCCACTCACGATTTAGCAACACGATGTTCAGGAACAAATCCTTTTTATTAGCACAAATTTCAAGAATTAATTGCGAGGTCCTCTGTATCGAAACAATGCATGCAATCCTCCACAATTTACCCAAACGCCCTTTCCCCACCCCAATTCACCCTCTTAATGCCTGCGCCTCTTCACACCTATGTCCCAATGTCTCAAGCCACAGCGACCTTCTCCGTCTGACTAATAATATACCACGCGTGAATGACACCAGGGATCCAGCCGAGGATGCAGAGCGCGATGTTGATGAAGAGATCAGCGGCGCAACCACGCTTCATAGCGACGGGAAGGAAGGGGATCCATATTGCGAGGAAGTAGAGGAGGACTGTTGACTGTAGTTGATTGTCAGAATCAAAGAAGAGAGAGGCATGGGAACGTGGTGATGGGAATGGGGCGACGGACTGTGCTTGACGGCATTGTGTGGGTGTGATGAATTCGCGTTGATATGGCACTTGATTGTGCTTCTTTCTCGTGAAGAGATTCTCGTGGTTGTAGTAGGCTCAGGGACTGAAGATGTGGCTGTTGTCTGTGGCTGAAGGAAAAAGTGGGCGAACTCTTCCAAGCTTATATCTTCATGTATACCCTACCACCAACTCGCAGCAGCTTACGACGCAGACGCGGACCGAATGCACGGTATCGGCACATGCCTCGTCCATGCAATTCGACGAAGCCGCCGTACTAGCCGTTCGTTCCTGGAGTGGGCAGCGAATGAAACGGTCATGCGCCACAGTGACGATGCGTGTTGTGGCGCAGGTATCAGCAGAGAGGCCGTGCGTCAAGGTGTTGAAGCTAGACTGGGTGACAGGCTTCCGAGAAGTGCCGGTAGCCGTGGTAGCCGCGTATGCAGGGGAGGGTAATCCTGTCGTTCGATCGCGATCCTGAACTACGGGGACGACGTCATTTTGTTGGTACCTGCAGTGTGTAGAAGAAGAAATGCTTACTGTGTGATGCCGACAGTGTGATCAAGGTTCAATGAAAGAGTTTCGCACTCGCCTTGGGCCAACTCTACTACTACAGCATGTTTCTAAGGGTTCTATCTCTTTATACATGCTGTCTGCACGTTAAGTGCTGTAAGAGAGATTGAACCGCCGGATACAGTGCCAAAGGTAAGAAGTTTGTGACTCGATGAACACTTCGCGATGCCTCCGTAACGGTGACGTGAACATGTCAAGATAATGCCTGGGACTCTTTAGTGACGGTGTGTAGAATAGAATGGCCAGTTGTCCTACTACTATTGATCCCGATGCGTATCAATTCAAAGACGACGCTACGGCATATATGGGAATGCGAGCTGTGGTGGGTTGAATAGCAACATTGAGACTTCGGCGGTGATGACGTAGATAAGAGGAGTTTAAGTCTTAATTGTAGTGCTCTAGATCTAGGGTGTAGGCTGTATCACGACTGACGTAATAGACTTAGTAACTTGTGCGGGCTGAACAAGTTCATAAGGCTGGAGACATTTACGGTAATGTGTTCTTTCCAATTTCTTTACTTCCGTGATGTGCGTGACAAGACGCGTCAATCGTGGCTCCGGATAGATCATAACATACGATATACTACAACCCTATCAGCTACGATCGTGTAAGCTGTCGTCAACCCAAGCGAATAGTTCTTCTTTCCTTCAAGCGAAAACAAAGCGGCCAGATATTTACGCCAACAAAACTACCGTAGTCTGCAAGTGTCCAATCCTTTATCACCAGATGTCCAACTCGTTCGTAATGATCCTCCTTTTCATGAACGATCATGACAAAGATGTCATCAAACCATCGTTTGAATGGAAAGATCTCACTTCTACCCAACACGATACCTAAAAGACTACCCTTTTGAAGGTCTGGCGCGTAGTTTTGCTGTGTAACAGAATTTCTGTCGAAATGCTGATACAATGAATACAGCGGATATCGGACAGATTTCTCATCGTTTTGGAATGTAGCAAAATACCCGGAATAATTGCGATTACAGTGCTGTGTTCTGCCGGAATCGATCCAGTCCTCCGTCTCGTAGTGAAAGTACTGCATATCGATACGTATTGTCCATGCTTCAATATGGATGAATCTACTGGAGGAACCAGGTATGCCCATATCTAACGAGATGTCGCTTTGCTCATCCATGTCTGAAAGTGACCCATCATGGTTTTCTATGAAGATCTTCAATGGCCTTCCGTTTTCGAGTTGTAGCCCTTTCCTACATGGTGCATTTTCGTAATTGATTGGCACATCCCATCCAGCCCAGCTCCACGTAGGGAACAGATACCGCCTGGTGCCTGACGCTGTGTTGCACCAGGAGAGACCGGCAGCGAAAGCCTCGCCCTTACTACAAGTTCTCAGGCCGTGATATCCTTCCCAACCTTCAGGCATCGATGGCATGATGGGAATACCCAGGTATTCATGCACGGGAGACTTCTTTCTTCTGAAGCTATTGAAAACTCCTTTAAATGCCCGTATAGCATCGGAGCTGACAGATAGCTCTCTCCCACAGAAATTAGCCAGACGATCGCAGATCTCAGAGGGACTATGTTCTTCGTACACGGCCTGAGTGTCGAAGATTCCCGAATGCCGATCGCCGGGACTATCGATTGTCTCGAAAGCAGAGCCGACGCGACACTCGTAGTACACTTGTCGCTCTGTGAACACGATACGTCGGGTCGAGAAAAAGCTCTCTTGATAGGTCCATGCTCGATGCATCCATTTAGAGGCCTTGATGAGCGTCCGCGGGTCTGGCAGAGTTGATACAAGGCATTGTCCTCCAATCCAGGCACTTGATTGGGGAGTTCTCGGGGTAGCGCCAACGCCAGGTAGGCCGAAATACGGATCAGTACCTACTGCAGCGACTATAGTCACGTACGCATTTTGATATATGAGGTCCATTTGCTGTACCTGGATTTGTTTTTCAGCATCATTGTCTTGGTCGATGCAATATCTGTCGATCCAAATGTATCGAAGACCTAGCGATTTGCTAGCGTTCAGGGCATCTTCGATAGTGCGTGGAAGGTTTTTGGGAAGTTCGTTATGAACACACCGATCGTCGCCAGATCTACTCGTGCCCCACACATAGCTGAGTGCAGAATACTCATACGTCGGCAATGCTCGCACGATCCGTCTCTGTTCGCAGTCGATCAACTTAAGCTCTTTCGGACTTGAACCTGATGATTTAACTTGGGTGCACTGCTTTGTGTGATTTCGACCACAACGATGTATCCAATCTCGAATGATGTCGAAGTCGATCGAGTTGGCATCGATAGATCGCGCTCGCAGTGTATTCACGGGAGGAGCTGTTCTTGACGCGCTTGAACATGCAATGAAGCCGTAAGACTCTTCATTCCCATACTGATACATAGGAACGAATCCGAAGTCTGGGACTACAGCTAGCACATTTCCATATCCGGATTCGTAGGAATCCTGAGGTTGCATGCAGCATAGATCATAGTCCTGATGCCCAGGACCATGTTGTATCCTCACCGCGTGGAAAAGGCGACATAGTGAGCATGACGACAACTCAGCTTCTACCCCGAGTTCTCCGAGAGCCATCAATTTCTTCATGTATTGTCCCTTCAGCTCGACGAAAAGGCTCTCGACATCAATGGACGAGCATCGGGAACAAAGGCTACTCGGTTCTTGAGACATCGTTTCGTCCCGTGTGTTGGATGTGTCTCCATGGCTCTGATGTGTGGCAGCCGGTAGGCCCACAGATTCTTTTTGCTTCCCTGGAGGATCCTCGGATGTACTCAGAGCTTGTGCTTGTCCCATGTCGTGCTGGGACCTTTGCAAGACGATTGGGATGGAAGACGAACGGAAGGTGGCCCCTGTCTCGTTAACTTCACGGCCTTGGTATTGCGACTCACTGAAACTGGGGGATAGACTGACTTGTTATTCATTCCCTTGCCTGGTCCGGTATTGCCAGTGATGGGACGTGGATGGTGAGAGGTGCGGGGCAGAAGTGCTCTCCAGGCTGCTGCCTAATGAACACCTGCTGCGCCTGCCAACTGGTAAGCGAAGTTTAGGTAAGCACATGCACGCTGCAGTCAGTGGCTTGCTTAGGCAACTGCTGTGATTGCTCAGAAAGAACAGAGTGCGCCTTTGACCCAGACTGCGGTCTAGTCCTAGGTTGGGCGTGGTCTTTAAGGTTGTACTTTGGTATACAGTATGATTGCAATAGCTTTGATGCTACTGTGATTGCTACTATGATTACTTCTACAACTACTTCTACAATTATTCCTACAATTGATTCTCTTACAATGAGTTGTCTTGATATCAATCCAGTATAGCAACCAGCTCATGAGATACCGCGGCATGAATGGCGTGGGTGTGCAAAGTCGCACTTGCTACGTGAGTTGCTTTGTCTGAACGGGCATTCGCAGTCGTCGCACTTGCCATGTGAGCCACTTTGTCTAAACGGGCAGTCGCGGTACTTTCGCGACACCGTCAAAAAAATACGATGGCAGCATTTCGGACTTTTCAACAGCGAAGCGAGGTACGGGATAGACATGCGACACAAGTTTATCGAGTCGTAAATGATAATGCGGTGAGTGCATCGGTGCAAACCCTAGCCGGTCAGGTAGCGACATCGAAACTTCCAAACTTCGGCGACAATGACGATGACGTATATAACCGGATTGGACGGTGAGGCTCTGTTGTTACAAAGCATAACAAGGATGAACGCTGTGCGACAAGAAATGACAACGGGAACTAAAAAAGACACGATGAGCGGTGTGGGTGGTTGGTGGATGACAAGCGGTGACGAACTTTACAAACATTAGGCATACAGGCAATGTGTGAACAGGGATATCTCGGCTTCGAATTTCTGATCTATTCTAGTCGATAGCCGCGCCTTACAAACAAGGTCATTGTCGCCTGGGGGGATGGAAAATATTTTGAACTATCCTAGGTGTTGTCGTGGGCGAGATGAGGTGGAAGGGGGGGTATGATTGTAGGGGTTGTGTTGATTGAGTAGTGAAACTAAATGGGCTGAGCGGGATGGGGGATTGTGGAACGCTAAAAATGCCGGTACTAGAAGTGTTTATCTCTTGCTGTGAGACAGTGACACAGACGAAGAGGAAGGAGATGGGCTATATAGTAATAACATAAGACATTCGGCATCATCGTGTCGCATTATCATGAGAAGGGGATTTGACGGACCATAAAAAAGCAAAGACAAATTTGTTGGAATCAGGGAAGATGGAAAAGGAACGCTGGAATCATAACAAACAAACAAACAAACTTTGCGGTTCCCCGGCTATTGGGGTTGCGCGGCTCCGTCTTTTACCATTCGCTTCCGAAAGGCTTTGGCTTTGCTCGCTTGGTTCTTGCTCGCTTGTGCATCCAGATGACTTGCGGCGGTGAAGGCTTCGACGACGGCCATGGCGTTGGCCTCTTCTTCCTCGTTGAATGTGATGAGGTCGAGGAATTGGCGGAGGACAATGG